CCTTGTGTGCATGCAACGTGGCATCACTGCCACTCACCTGCTGCAGAAATAATTGCTGCTGAGGGATTTTCAGGAATGTGCCAAAATCACTGGGGACAGCAAACAGAAGTAATTCACCCTTAGTGTTCCCAGGTTGACCCTGCTGCTGCTACTCACCTTAAAGATTAATTCATGAAAATATTTAAGTGCATTACTGGGGTAACATGAGCTGCAGCATGGATTTCCTCAAAAATAGGCTTGGTTATTAGTCTTAAAGATATCAGTTGCAGGGGAGCAGGGGAGCACCAGCCCTGCCTCACTGGAGTGTTTCTTTCCTGAGCTGTTACTTGGTACCTTTCAACTAAAACCTTTTCTCTCTTTTTCTCAGAAACCAGAAGACGAAGATGCAGGTGTAAGAGGTGAGTGACACGCATTGACATTTTTCTCTTCAACTTGGCAACATCCCACCCTCAAGAGATAAAGCAGGCAGGTGCCAAAAAGCAACCTAAAAATTCTTCATCTGATAGAAGATGGTTGGGAGGAGCCTGAGCAATTACTTAAGGGCAAAAATGGAACAGAAAACTCTCCTGTCCTCTGTTTTTGGTTTTGTTTGGGGCTTTTTGTCTGTTTGGGCTTTTTGTTTGGTTTTTCAACTATTAAGTTGTTGAAGTCATTGAGCTCTGACCCTGCAGCAGATACAAAACAGAAAGACAGGTGTTTGTGGCAGCCCAAAAGCTTTGTGCATCACCCAGTGCTCATAACTATATTTGTGTGCTTCCAATGCACCATTCCCAACCTGAGCTTGGGGGTGACCACATTTCTTCTCTTCCTCTCCCCAAACCATTCAATTCCATTACTGCATATTCAGATGTCCCCATGGATGGGGATACATGTAAGTTCCTGCATCCCAAATTCCGCTCTGCACCATTTGGAACCCACAGCACCAAGGTTTTCCTGCCTCTGTTTCCCCAACAGGCACTAAGGAACAGTAGCAGAGGGGCTGCTGCAGCCTTGAATGACTCTCCTGAGAAACACCAGTGCAGACAGGAACAGAGTGAGGGGTAACCCAGTTTCTAGGGCACACAGGAACCTTTCCTTTGTGCTTTCCCTCCTGCCCACCCCTCACCCCGAGTCACCAGGAAAACACAATCAGAATGAGAATTGCAATTTCCTGGTTTGGAAGAGGAATTGTTTTTTGCCCACACGCATTTTGCTTCTGCAAATCGACCTCCCTGCAGCTGGTTTGCTCACCTCTCCTGCTCTGCAGGAAACCACTTCTGCACTTCTGCAAGCCTTGTGTACCCTGGGGCTTGTGGCAAGAGAGACACCAAGAAGTCCCCGCTACTGCTCAAGGGCAGCCAAGGCTGGGCTAGTGCTTGGAACAGCTGGGTTGCCAAGAAACTTTGGAACAGCATGTTCACACCTCTGGAGCCTCATTCTTTGCCAATCAAAGCACCTTTAAAATCAGATAAATTCCTGTTCCTTGTTATATATCCATGGGGTTTTTAGTACAAGAGGTAACTGCCATTTAGTTCTCCAAATTAATATGGACCTTCCCCAACATTAGTAGAAAATGGATCCCTACAAATTTATCTTTTTTTTAAAGGCAGGTTGCATTTTTTTAAGCTGTCAAATGGAACAGACAGTCATTTTCACAGGGGATATTTATTACACCCAGTGCTTTCCTGATCCTCATCTGCCTTTCCAGGGGAGAAATGATAAGGAAGAGCTCTTCAAGAGGCCTTGTTTAGCAGAATGTTTGCATTTTTCACTTATCTCAACCCCCTTTGCCAACTCTGTGCAAGGACGTTCTGTCTCTTTGGGGAGAAAAACACCCTGCAGAGCTCTCCCACTTTGCCCTGATGCAGTGGTTTTAATACAGGGGCCTCAGGAAATCACTTCCTCAAGGATGTCTCTCCTTCAGCAGCCCTAAACTTGACAGAGCTCTGGTTTTAGCTATTGTACCATATTCCAGTTTTGATTTAGAGAGGAAATTCCTGCTGCTCTGAGCAGCTCCTGCTTAGTGAAAGGAAGCTCTTTGGAAGTTAACAGCACAATTCACTCCCTTAAAGAGCACCTCAGGATCTGCCCTGCGATCATTGCTGGCAGCAGAAGGATTCATTTTCCACCACCAATTAATCCTCCCTGAAAAGGGGTGCCAAATCCCCAACTCATCAGATCAGCATAAAACTCCCAGTTGATGGAGACAGTCATTTCTATCATTTTGGGTGCACGCTGGCTGTCTGGAAAGCCTCTTTTCAAACTTCTCTGCAGGCAACACGTTCCAACAAGAAAAAGTCTCTCTGAAATGATAACACCCTGTCTAATTAAAAAAACACCCTGCAAACCCTGAGCTCTTCTTTCTTCATTCCTTTCGGAATGTAGAGGAAGGCTTAATGAGAGGACAGGAGTGATCAGAAGTCAGAGGTAAATTTAAAAAGCCCACTTTATTTTTTAATCAATGTTAGGTTTGACCACCAGTGTATCTTGTGACACAACTTTCTTCTGTCAGTCACTACTTGAAATGGTGGCAGATCATTCACTTGCACAAACAGGATTTAGGAACACTTTGCAGCCTTGTCTGGGAGTTCCCTGGCTACAGCCCAAGGCTAAAGGAGCCTGAATTTCCTTCTTGCTCCTCTCCCACCTGAGTAAACCAAACTCACTTCTCTCTCCAGACCTGCAAACGGGAAGCCCCCCGCAAAACCCAGGACACCAAACTAACACGGATCAGCATCTGCTCCTTCTGGCTTCTGGATCTTCTCCTGGGAGCTGTCAGCACAGAAATCCATTTCCTACATTATCCACAATGCCACTGCACCTCACCCACTCTGCCCTGACAGATTTGAAGAGACAAGAGGGAACACAGACAAGAAGCAGCTCTTCCCTGGGAACTGCAAAGCACAACTCCTTCCAAACCCCAAGCTTCTCTGGGCAATTCCTAAGGCCAAAGGCCACCTCTGTTCCCAGGGCACAGGCACAAGAACCAGGCCAATCCAGGTGCTGACATGCCTCAGCGAGAATCTGATGAGAAATAAGGACGTGAGCTGGACCTTTGCTCAAGGCTGTGTGCAATTTCCTCCCAAAATGCAGCCAGAGGTGGAATTTGCTACACAAAGAAATAATTATCCCCACCCAACACATCTTGTTGTGGTGCCTCCCTACTAGGGCTTTTACTGTTTCATGTAATGGAATGCAAGACTGCACTGAGAAGCTAAATATGGATTAAAGGGCCTTAATTTTGAGGTTTTTACAGTTCTTGGGGCTAAGGTTCACTGTCGCCCTCACACTGTCCTTGTTCTGCTGCTACCCCCAATCCACCTATTTCTGCAGGAGTTTGGCCTGAGTAAGGAAAGTGGGACTTGCTTTCTTTCTGAGGGAAATGCCTGAGTGATTTAAAAAAAAAATAAATCTTTGTCACTTGTTTTGGTTAAGCAGAATATTTAACATGTTGATATTCTGGGGACATGTTATGGGGTACTGTAAATTCTGGTTTTTTCAGATCTGTATTTCATGTAAATATTTCCTTACTATACTCGCAATTTAAGAACTGAGACAAAATAAAATTCTTCTAGTCAGATTCATGACCATTATTTCATTCTTTCTTCAGTTCCTAGTCTCACAAAAGCTAAAATCCTTCAGGAAGGTAATAAACAAGGGGTTGAAAATGTCTTGGCTAAGGTAAAAGCCAGTGATTTATACACCATTCTGAACTTTAGGGTGCAGACTTCAGCTTCCAGCTTAGCACAGCCTAAAATCATCTAAAGGTATCTTCCCAGGGATTTGCTGATGGGCCCAGTAACACTCCCACATCCCAGGAAACTACCAAGAAGGCGCCTGAGATAAAGAGTCTGGAATTCTTGTCACGGGGCTGATAAAAACCTGGCAAAAAAAAAGAGTGGAAGAAACTCTTTGATAGTCTCCTCCTCTGTAAACAAGATGGGAAGGAGAGAAAATCAGAGGAAAACAAAGTTCTTCCAAACTTACTTGTTTGTAAGAATTAAAAAAAAATAAAAAATGGGACTAGGTAAGCGTATCTAAACAATAGTGGGAAAGTACTGAACGACAACTCCACAGAACTACACAAATTATGAAGAAAAAAAATAACAGAAAAGCCCCAACATTGAGGCTATGAGATCAATTTAATTATTGGATGGTCTTGAATTAGTGTAAGCTAAAAATTTTCACTTAAAAAGTTATCACTCAAAATGTTTCTGCCAAAAAGCTATAGGTCTTTCCTCATATTCTCATATCCACTTTTTCACATCACACAACACACGACGTTCCTGTAGCCCAGGCACAAGTGCAGTGTGCTCCTGCTCTGGGACTGACCCACACACCCAAATCCTCTTCCAACAGATGAAGAAATAGAAGCAGGATCTGTTTGCTTTGGGAATTTTTATTTGTTTCAGAGGGCTTGTTTGCTATTTCAGAACACACCTGATCATTTTTAAGTCCAGTGCCAAACTCAGGAGGCTCTGGGATGGCTCCTGCCTCCCTCAACACATCTTCACACAGATCCTCCAGCCCACACTCTGCAGGGCACAGCTCACACAGCATCAGTGACCCTCACATATCTCAGCAGCCCAGCAGCGGCTTTCCCCACTCACCAACACACTTTGATGGCCAGTGACATAAACACAGTTCCTAAACCATTTTCCATAACTCAGCTGTCAGTAGCAGCACAAACAGCAGCACCTGTATTCTGACAGACCCAGGAACCAAGAGGCTTCTTGGCAAAGTGTTAGTAAAAAAAAAAAAAAAGAAATTAAACAAAAAACTTTACACAGAAAGATAATCAACAGGAAAGGCTGTGTGTGCAAAGTTCCAGGAAACATCAGCCATTCCCCCGTGCCAGGGTCACCCAGAGGCAGCAGCAAGGGCCCTCTCCACTGGAGCACACCACAGGGCAGGACGGAAGGAACCTGTGGTGAGGCAAAAGAACCACAAGTAGATAAAACAAAGAAGCAAATCACAAATTCTGGACTGGAAACTCGTTTATTCAGAAATTCTTTTTTTCCTCAATGTTTTGCCGCTGATGCCAAGAATTGTCATTTTACCCAAGAGGGTCCTGATGACATCACATCCCCCCAAAGAGAGAGACAGCCTCCCAAGCCAAGGTAAAAAAAAGATAATCTCAATGTGCTTCACTGTCTCTGAGGACAGACACACCAGGAGAAGATGGCTGGGTCATCTCATGCTCTGAGTAGAAGCCCCAATAGCAACGGCATCAAACTCAGCAGTGTCTGGCTTCTGACAGACTAAGAAAAGGACCTTCTTTGCAAAGCTGTAATAAAAAAAAACCCTCACACAGAAACGAAATCAACAGGAAAGTCAAGAAGAAATAAATAAATCAAACACCAGCCCAGCCCCTGGCACTCTAGTGAAATGCTTCTTTCCATGCATGCAAAGGTCCAGGAAGCATCACCCATTCCCATGTGCAAGTGGTCACCTGGAGGCAGCAGCAAGGGCCCTCTGGTGAAGTATAAAAGGGTTTTTTTAAAGAGCAGAATACCCTGTGGTTAAAGAAGAGAACCACAAGTTTTAAAGACAAAGAAAAGGCAAAACACTCACTTGTGCAAGTGGCAGTCTCAACAGGTTCCAGTTCCTAGACCAGCAACCTTGCATGAAAAGGCTTTTGCTGAGCAATAACCATGAAGAACAGAACAAAGTGCAATGAGAAAAATAAAGACTCATCTGTGTGCCAGAAACCTGTGCTTGGAGACAGACAATACATGTGGATCTACACCATGAACACCTGGGTCACTGTGGCTCTGCCACACACGCAACAATCCATGAATGTGCTCAGGAGAAAGAGGCAGAATCCCTGCCAAGAAAAGTGTTCCAAAGCCTGCACCAAAGGATGGGGCTGGTCTGTATCTTCTGCACAGAAGCTGTGGGGAGGGAGCAGCAGGCTGTGGTGGCTGATCCTATCTCAGCCATGGGCAGCACCTCTCTGGATCTCTAGGGAAGTCACCCAGAAAAAAAATCCTTGAGGCATTCTAAGAAATGATGAGGTTAAAGAGACCCAGATTCTGGACTTGAATTGAATGCATCCTGATGTTGGGGTCCTGATGACATCACATCCTCCCCAAAGAGTGACACAGCCTCCCAAGCCAAGTGACAAAGATCATCTCAGCTCTGCTGCACCAGCCCCAAGCACAGACACCCCAGGAGAAGATGGACACGTCTCCTGCCCTGCTCCTGCTGCTGGCTCTGGGATTCTGTGAGTACGGACACGGGGCTGTGCAGCCCCTTCACTGGGAGGGAAAAGCAAAACCCTTCCATTGAATCCAATGCATTGGGTGAAGTAATTAAGGGGGTAAAAAGCAAACCAAAAAGGCTGACTTGGAGCTGTGCTCAGTGAGTTTGGAAGGAAAGGCGGCATCAGCTCAGCCAGCAAAGGGCAGCCAGAGGGGTGGCTGCAGCACCACCTGCACTGGGAAGGGAGATTGATCCGATGAGCGCTTCTGGGAGGAGGGAGAAGGGTGGCAGTAAAGGGCCTCTGCAAGAAGTGCAAAGGGAGTCACTTGAGAGAAGCTGGGAAGGTGTAATGTCCCTGAGAAGGTGCTGGAAGGGCTGCACCCATCCTTAAAGCCTGTGTGGCTGATTGCTGAGCACCCTCCATGCACCATCCCAGCAAGGACTCCAAGAAAACCTTCACACCATCCACACAGCGTGGCCCTCCCTTTCCATTTCTCCTTCCAGCCCATGGACAGGGAGGGAGCTTTCCTCAGAGAACCCTTTGACTCTTCCCAAGTGGTTGCAGCAAGGATTTCTCTCCTGCAGGCTGCCCTGGGATTTTTGGCCAGTCACTTCAGATAAAGGTCAGATCTCCCGTGGACATCAACCAGCTCCGGGTGGGACAGAAGCTGGAGCTGGAGTGTCAGACTGACAAGGACAGTGGTACATTCTGGATCCACCAGGACAAGAGTGGGAACCTTCACACCATCGTCTTCATCAATTCCATTTCTCGAGTCACATTTCAGGGGAATCAGAAATGGTCATCTCGCTTTCAGGCGAGCAAACACAACACAGTCTATCATTTGGCAGTGAAATCTTTCACGCCGCAGGACCAGGGGAAATATTTCTGCGTGATGAATTTGAACCAAAAGCTGCACTTCAGCCCTGGCCAGCCTGTCTTCCTTCCAGGTCAGCAACACCTTCACCCAACCTCACTCAGTCCTGCCAAAATGCCCAGCACCTCCTGCCCATGCCCTTTTCAACCAGCCATCCCTCCTACAAACCCCATTTCCCTGCTTGCTTGCCCAAGGCATCCTGTACCCAACCCACTGGTCCTCCTGCCAGAGGCTCCCTGCTTCCCACCTCTCCCCCTGGGACTGCCCCTGCCCAAAGGCAAACATGTTTGGGCAGACCCAGCATCATCTCCCCATCCCCACTGCTCCAGCCCACCCATGTGCTCTGAAGGGAGAAGACTAAAGCCAAGTCCACCACCACCCCCTCCTTCCTCAGCACACACAGCTCCCAAAAGTATTACCAAGCTCAGGGGGCTCAGGCTTTGTGAGGATGGTGTCAGAAAGTGAGAAACAAGGAGGCTGCAGCTCCCTCTTGGCTCTTGGGAGACCCCATCCAAACTTGGCTCCAAGAAGTTCCCCCCAGAGCTGAGGCCTTTGCTGTGCACAGGAACAGCTGTGCCCAGGTAGGAGAGCAGAAGGGCAGCAGAGATCTGTTTTATTTTATTTCCCTGCATGCTGAATTCATCCATTTCACTTACAGCCACCACTGCAGGAGAACCCACCACCCAGTGGGGCATCACCAAAAAGGACTTGTTCCTGAAGACACCAGATCCAGGTAGCCTGGATGCAGGGAGGGAGAGGGGAAGAGCTAGACCCTTGTCCATTGATACCAAGGAGAATCCTGCAGATATTTCGGGATGGGGGAAGAGTGAAAATCCATACAGCTTTAGCAGAGTTGTTAGGATTAAATTCCATCATTTCATCTCCCATAGGAAAGGCTAAGGATGATGTAAAAAGCATGAGCAGATCCCATGCCTGGGCATCTTTTGCACTAAAATGTTAAGAAGCAATTGCAAGTATCAGTGCAGCAGTGAGAAGGGAACGTGCCAAGAGCAACTCCAGCCCTGCATGCATACACCTCTAGCAAATCATGCAAGTTCAGGGCAAACTGGCTGGGTTTGTGGTTGAGTGGCAATGTCTGGGCAAGGAGCCTGGACTGCTGCTTGCACCAATAAAAAGAGGAGGACTGGCTGAGCTGGAGCACCGAGAAGCAGCTCAAGGGTGCTTGTTTGTGCATGCAGGAAGCTGCTGCTGGGCAGGCCCTACAGATCTGACAGCTTTTGGTTACAGCACATGGAAGAGGCTCTAGTTCCACAGTGAGCTGAGAAGCAGGCAGAGGCAAAGGCTGGAAGCTGTTACAGGCTGACACAGGGCAAACTGGAGTCTGGCATAGAGAATGACTTTCATAGAGGACCAGAAGGAATGAATTTGTTCAGAGGTCGACAGTTACCTAATTGCACACTTGCTCCAAACTAATAATGGAGTAGCTCATAACTCAGAATCTGATGGGCTAAAGACAAACAACACAGGAGTTAACACTTAATGGTGGGGAGAGCAAGAGCTGTTGCACAATTTAAGCATAACCTCAACTAATAAAGGAAAAAAAAAGAGTACAAGATGGTCACTGAAAGCCTGTGAAGATGAGGAAGGCATCAGATGCCCCCAAAACACAGAACATCCACAATTTGCTGATAGACCCCTGCTTTTAGCCCATACAAAGCTTCAGTTATTCAGTGAACTTTTCTGAGTGAGAAAGGATTTTGATAAATAAACTCCAGATACACAGTACAGCCAAGATGACCCCACCAGAATCTGTAACTGGACTGGTCAGTTAAAGTCACTTTGTCTGTCCAAGCCTGTACTTGACAGATGACCTGTCACAGGGAAGTAACCTAAGCTCCTCCCAGACTCCTCAGACTAATTCTGTGGTGCATTTTGTGCAAGTACTTGGAAGCCACCCCCAAAACCATCCCCTTGCTGTTGCTTCTGCAGCATTCAAGACAGAAAAGCAAATTAAAGCAGGGAAAAAAGAACAGAAACCTCTGGAAGAACAGCAAATAGGCAGTGAAACATGAATTTCCTGTAAGTAGGTTTCTTCCTTCTGATTAATCTGACATCAAATGTGTTTGACACGCAGAGTCAGCACAATCTAATCACCAGATTCCCATTCTGAGTTGTGCTGAATAAATTGAATAAGTGTAAATTTTTGTCATAGGAGATCAACCACATCTGTTTGTATTCCACATTCCTGGAAACCTCCCACATAACTTAGAAACCTTGGGAAATACGAGATTTGCTCTCAGTTCTGAGGGGAAAGAATTGTCAGTCAAAATAGCTACGTTCATATATATTTATTTCCTCTCCCCGCAGGCAAATGTCTCATGGATGATGCTCAAGACTTGAACTGAAACATTATTTGCACCTTCCCCATCCCCTTTTTTCTCTAGCCAAAGGAGAAGTCCTAGCCATAACCTGACAGTAAGAAGAAAGAAACCAACAGCAGCGTCACCAACTCTGAAAATAAACACGAGGCAGAGGAAATGCAGGAGAAAAGGGGATCTCCTTTTAAAGGCAGAACTCAGGGAAGGTTTGCTCACTGCAGCCTGGGTCACAGCACCCACCAGCTTCAGCTCTGAGTCTTTGTTCCAGTCTGCACAGCTGTTTTAAAACACCCTTCAGAAAGTGAAAAGTTCTGAAGTGGAACTGGACAACACTTCCAGGGCTTTTGTGTTTGAATACACAAATACAGCTTCCTGTAAAAATTAGTACAAGTTAGTGTGATCTGAAACACCAGTTCCTATAGCCAGACCCAGCATGACTCAGTAAGAGCTTACAGGAGGCTGTCAACAGCTCCAGTTCCTGTATTTCTCTACAGGGCTGCTAATTTAATGCAAACTTGAAGTCATAAAGATTAAATCACCCATCTCACGTATGTACATTTTTGTAAACCACTCTTCTTTTTTTACATATTAAGCCTTGAATTAAATTCAGAGTACTGATGTACTACCACATTGCAGCTTTATTCACTACAAATCACTGCTGCCAAACTATTTTTTTTAATCTCTTATTCCAAAAGCTTCTTTCCCTGTACTTCAGTCTCTCCTATTCACAAAAGGAAAGGAGTAAGGGCTGGGATAGATTAAGGACCATGTTATCCCTCTCTGCCCAAGAGACAAATCAACCTCTGAAGTGATAAGCACAGAAGGAAAAACTATCTTGCAGTGAGCAAACAAACCTTGCAAGGAAAATCTAACCCAAACTTACTGCTTTTAACTTGGCAAGTTGGCTCCAAGAGATAAGTAACTTCAACTTTGAATTTCAGCAACAGCCATCCTGTAAAGTGTCAAGAAGAAAGATTCAAAGCAACAGGATGGATACACGTCTAAGCTAACAGAGATCAGAAGCTGTGACTCATTACTGGTAAAATACAGCATCCACTTCAGCTTCTCCACACGTTAATTAACCTCACAGAGAGGAGACTGAAATCAATACAGTGTTTCCACAGAGGAACACCGCTTTTAGGAGGGAAGATTATTAGTTGGTCCATGCCTAGTTGCAATGTGCAGCCCTGAGGTCACAGCAGGAAACGACTTAATTAAAAATACTTCAGAGAGCAAACATCCAGAGCACTAACAGCAGATGAGGACATGAACTTTCTGGAAATGACAACCAAAAATGTACAATACCTTTGAAGTTTAAAAAGGCTATGTGCTACTTTCCTTTCCTACTCTTTTGAAGTTTTGATAATGCTTTGTAACACAAGTCAGACCTGAAACACCACAAGAACATATCGCAATACATTTCCCACTTCAGGCATTCACAAAAATAAAATTCAAGTCTATTGACAGAGATTGAACTGACACTACGAACAAGCTGCTGCTATGAAAATCAAGTTTATAAACATCCATTACCTTCGGAGGACCCGTAAGTTAAACTTTATATGAGCATGGTCAAAAAATTCTTGACTTGATGCCCATCCACACCACTAATGGGTGCACTTGCTCAGAGCTACTGTTCTGACAGTTTGCAAAGGGGAGAAGCACCAGCTGCAAGCCCAGCACAGCCCAAGGAGTGGCACGGTGATCTGGTTACAGACACAAACATGCTGAGCGTCTTTACTTCCATCCTGCAGCATGAAAGGCACTTGGGACACACAGGGCTACTTTGGGGACTAGTTCAAGGCTTCACAATCTGGTCCAAAAATGTAATAGAGACAGATACCACTGTAGCTTCAAAATCAAACACTTCTTTTACTGTGGATATTCCCACCCTGATAGGAACAGTGCACACACAGCAGATGCCAATTATACTTGAAGTATGGAAACCACAGAGTTTTATTCACTTTTCCCCTGCAAGCATGTTCTCCAGTTACCAGAAGCATAGCAGGCACTAGCAGGAGAGAACCCACATCACTTCACAGGGCAAACTGGATTATTTTTGCCAACCAAATTGCAGAACTGCTTCCCAAATGCCCAGCACAGCCTCCTGAGCACGCACGCTCACAGTACTGAACCATGAGCATCATCTGTTGGTGGAGCTGCACAACTGCAGGCAAGGATTTTTAAGTCAATGTCCAGGCAGGGAAAGAATGATCTGGTGAAAAGAGCTTTTGAATTATCTATGGATCCATAACATGCACTAGTTAAGGTGATATTTAATAACCAAGGTGAATTTGCACCCAATTTCCATTTAATAACTGTTTCATCATTGGGCTCTAAGCTATTCATGTTTACTGGTATTCACACCAGAGCTAAAATACCATCATGTAACAGAGGAAGATACAGCACTCATACTTCAGGCTGGTTGTGTGGGGGTTTGTTATTATTCGCTGCACTTTTTGGGTTTTTAATTACTTCATATGCCATTTCATATAGATGCAAAGCATTAAGCAATTCCAGTCAGAAAAAAACATTAAAAGCAATTTCAGCAAGACTAGGAAACCTACATGGAAAATAATATCCTCACCCGTTTATTGTTGATTTTACCACTTGGTAACGCGGCTGTTTGGAACTCAGTGTGAATACAATGTAAATTTTGCAGAAAATCACACACCTGTATTTTTTCACATGTATCAAATACATCTGACGTTTAAAATTTGTGTGCCTTGACTCGCTCCTCACTTTATAATGTCTCTGTAGGTTTGTCCATTATCACTGATCCCATAAGAGTCCAACTCAGTCTCTCCAGTCAGGTACAAATTCCAGACAAATTCAAAAGGTGTAGATTTCCCAAAGACGGTCTTCTCTGTAGTGCATTGTGCTAGTGCATTCAACCAGTGTGTCAGTGTTCAACCAGACAAGCTTGGGGTTGGTTGGTTGTTGTTTTTTAACTACACAATACAGAAATATAATTTTACATGTAGCTTTGCATGCCTTATGGCTGCTTGCCCTACTATAGGACAGTGCAATAAATACAAATATATGCACACTAAAAAAGATTTAACTGCCATGATCTATGTCTCCTTTATGAGTACAAATTTACCTAGTCAACAATATGACAAATTTAGCAGAGAAAGTGGCAATGGCAGTAATATTCTACTACAAAAACAAGGCTAGAAGCAGTGTTCTCAAGCTACAGAAAACTTGCTACCTCCTAATATATGATGTAGGGCCCAGTTCTGCCAAGTGCAGAGTCGTGATCAGTAGATTGCATCAGAACATGCTTTTCCCCCCATTTAACAATGAATACTTCTACAATTTATTTGGTTTTGATAACTGTTTATAAATAGCACACTATAATGACTAGTAAACTATACAGCAACATGACAGTTATAGCCTAATCCTGAATACAAAGTTCAAAGAACATGACTACAAAGGCCAGAGAGCAAATGTCATCAACTAAAAGCATTTCCACTTCAGAATTTATTGAATGGTCTCTTACACAAACACTTCTCCATCATGAAACCAGAGGAACAGGATTTCCTATTCCCTCTCTGCCCCAGTAGTAGTTTAGCCACACATCACCCTTATAAATTAGTGATGGATTTCAACAGGTAGCCCCTTGGGGCTATATATTTTATATACTTTATATATATGCACATTTACTTTGAATTCTATGTAAAAGTTGAAAAAATGTTTGAAAGAAAAACTCAGAATATATCACAGCATTTTCAGCAAAAAAAATACAAAT